ATTAAAAAATATATTAGCCGGGCGTTGGTGGTGCACACCTTTAATCCCAGCACTTGGGAGGCAGAGGCAGGCAGAAGGCCAGCCTGGTCTACACAGCAAGTTCCAGAACAGTCTCCAAAACAATACAGAGAAACCCTGTCTGGAAAAGAAAAAAAAAAACACCTGTGGCAGAGACAAGCAGATCTCTGTGAGTTCAAGGCCAGCCTGGTCTACAAAGTGAGTTCCAGGACAGCCTCCAAAGCCACAGAGAAACCCTGTCTCGAAAAACCAAAAAAAAAATATATATATATATATATATATATATATATATATATATATATATATTACTTAGGCCTGACAGTGGTGGCACACTCCTTTAATCCCAGCACTTGGGAGGCAGGTGGATCTTAGTGAGTTCAAGTCCACCTGGTCTACAAAGTGAGTTCCAGGACAGCCAGGACTATTACAGAGAGAAACCTTGTCTCAATAAACTTTAATTTTTTAAAAAATTTGTTCACGGGGCCGGGCGTTGGTGGCGCACGCCTTTAATCCCAGCACTTGGGAGGCAGAGGCAGGCGGATCTCTGTGAGTTCGAGGCCAGCCTGGTCTACAAGAGTTAGTTCTAGGACAGCCTCCAAAGCCACAGAGAAACCCTGTCTCGAAAAACAAACAAACAAAAAAAAAATTTGTGCATGGGGGCTGGAGATGGCTCAGAGGTTAAGAGCACTGGCTGCTCTTTTTTTTTTTTTTGGTTTTTACGAGACAGGGTTTCTCTGTATTTTTTCGGAGGCTATCGGTCCAGCCTGGCCTGGAACTCACAGAGATCCGCCTGCCTCTGCCTCCCGAGTGCTGGGATTAAAGGCGTGCGCCACCACCGCCCGGCTGGCTGCTCTTTAAGAGGTCCTGAGTTGGATTCCCAGCAACCACATGATGGCTCACAGCCACCTGTAATGAGATCTGGTGCCCTCTTTTGACTTGCAGGAATATATTCAGGCAGAACATTGCATAAATAATAAATAAATCTTTAAAAAAATTTAGTGTGTGGCTGGGCAGTGGTGGCACACACCTTTAATCCCAGCACTCAGAAGGCAGAGGCAGGTGGATCTCTATGAGTTCAAGACCCACTGGTCTACAAGAGCTAGTTCCAGGACAGCCTCCAAAGCCACAGAGAAACCCTGTCTCAAAAAGCAAAACAATAAAACCAACAACAAAATTTCGTGCATGTGTGTATATATGTTGTGTTTGGTGCAATGCATCTGTATGTGTGGATACACATGATTATGCTCCAACATTTGGAGGATAGAGGAGGACTTGGGTATCTTCCTCTATGCTTGTCTGCTTTATCATTTGATACAGTATCTCACTGAACCAGAGGCTCCCTGTTTTGGCTAGGCTGGCTAGCCATGGAGCTCCCAGAATCTACTTGTCTCCATACTCCCAAATACTCAGATTATAGGCATGCAGAGTCACGCTCAGGTCTTTTTTTTTTAACACAGGGTCTAGAGATTCAAACTCAGGTCCTCAAGCTTACAGAGCAAGTGCTCTTACTCTCTGAATCATTTCCCAGGATCCCTAGTCCCCTTAAAAGACAGGGTCTTAGGTAGCCTAGGTCAACCTAGAATTTGCTTGAATTCCTGATCCTCCAGCCTCCACATACTAACTACTGGGATTATAGGCTTAAGTGACAAAAATTTCCACCTTAAAAAAAAAAGTGAGTTGGGCCGGGCATTGGTGGCGCACGCCTTTAATCCCAGCACTCGGGAGGCAGAGGCAGGCGGATCTCTGTGAGTTCGAGACCAGCCTGGACTACCAAGCGAGTTCCAGGACAACCTCCAAAGCCACAGAGAAACCCTGTCTCGAAAAAAAAAAAAAAAGTGAGTTGGTTGGGCACGCCTTTAATCCCAGCACTGGGGAGGAAGAGGCAGGCAGATCTCTGTGAGTTCGAGGCCAACCTGGTATACCAAGCGAGTTCCAGGACAGCCTCCAAAACAATACAGAGAAACCCTGTCTCGAAAAATCAAACAAAAAAAGAAACAAAAAAAGTTAGTTGATACTTGAAGATTTTTTTTTTCTTCAGACAAGTCTCATTATGTAGCTCCATCTGTCCTGGAACTCACTCTGTAGACCAGGCTGGTCTCAAACTCACAGAGATCCGCCTGCCTCTGCCTCCCGAGTGCTGGGATTAAAGGCGTGCACCACCAATGCCCGGCAATACAGATATTTTAAAACATGATTAAACACAAAGGTTAGGAAAAAGGAAGGTGCTCAAAAGGAAAGAAAAGACACACCTGAGTGCATGGAAGTGAGGTTCTCAAAGAAAAGTTGGATAGAGGACTCAATGGTTAAGAATACTGGTAGCTGTTTTAGAGGTCCAGGCTCCAATTCCCAGCATCCACATGGTGGCTCATAACCATTTGTAACTCCAGTTCCAGAGGATCTGATGCCCTCTTGTGACCTCTGCAGTCATCAGGTACCCACACAGCATGCACATGTACATGCGGGTAACACATCTATACATAAAACTGTATTCTACAAGAGTAGCAAGTGCTCTTAACTACTGAGCCATTTTTCCAACTCCTTTCTTTATTTTTTATTTGTTTTTGCTTTTTATTTTATTTATTTGTTTGCTTGTTTGTTTTTTGAGACAGGGTTTCTCTGTGGCTTTGGAGGCTGTTCTTGAATTAGCTCTTATAGACCAGGCTGGTCTCGAACTCAGAGATCCTCCTGTCTCTGCCTCCTGAGTGCTGGGACTGAAGATGTGCGCCACCATGCCCGGTCTTGCTTTTCATTTTTGAAACAGGGTTTCTCTGTGTAGTCCTGACTGTCCTTGGAACTCCCTCTGTAGACCAGGCTGGCCTTGAACTCTGAGATCTGCCTCCCTCTACCTCCCTAGTGCTGGGATTAAAGGAGTTTACTATCATTGCCTGGCCTCATTTTAAATTATATATATGTGTGTGTGTCTGTGTAGAGGTATGTGCACACAAATGTAAATTTGCCTTAGAAGCCACAAGAGGACATTGTAGTTATAGGCATCTATGGCCAGCGTGATGTGGGTTCTGTAAACTAAACTCAGTCCTCTGGTAATGCTCCCAAGTGTCTCAATGTGAAAAGTAAAAGGAAAGCTTAGTAGGTTGGCATGGTGAGGCATGCTTTTAATCCCAGCATGCAGCAGGCAGAGGTAGGTGGATCTCTGTAAATCTGAGACCAGCCTTGTCCATATCCACAGTGAGATCCTGTCTCAAAAAATAAACAAATCCAGCCGGGTGTTGGTGGCGCACGCCTTTAATCCCAGCACTCGGGAGGCAGAGGCAGGCGGATCTCTGTGAGTTCGAGACCAGTCTGGACTACCAAGCGAGTTCCAGGACAGCCTCCAAAGCCACAGAGGAACCCTGTCTCGAAAAACCAAAATAAATAAATAAATAAATAAAATAAACAAATCCTAAACCAATTATTTGTCTCTTTCCCAACCAACCTGCTTATTGGCTAGTTTGCTTTTTTCCTTTTTTAGCTATGGCCTTACATAGCCCAGGCTAGCCTGAAACATAATTGATATATACTTGATACATAGTTGAGATTGGCCTTGAACCTTTGATCTTTCTGATTCTGCTTATACCTCCCAAGTACTAGGTTAAGTAAAGAGTTACAATGCCTGGGATTATTTATTTATTTTTATTTTATTATTATTTTTGGCTTTTCAAAACAAGGTTTCTCTGTGTGTAGCTCTGGCTGTCCGGGAACTCACTCTGTAGACAAGGTTGGCCTCAAAATCACAGAGATCTGCATGCCTCTCTCTCCCCAGTGCTAGCATTAAAGGCAAGTGCCAGAGCCACCTGGTTTTTAATCTATTTATTTATTATTATTTTTTGTTTTGTTTTGTTTTTCGAGACAGGGTTTCTCTGTGGCTTTGGAGGCTGTCCTGCAACTGGCTCTTGTAGACCAGGCTAGTCTCGAACTCACAGAGATCAGCCTCCTCTGCCTCCCGAGTGCTGGGATTAAGTCCTGCTGAGTTTACATTTATTTTATTTTATTTTGAGACAGCGTTTCTCTGTGCAGCTTTGTAGACCAGGCTGGCCTCGAACTCACAGAGATCTGCCTGTCTGTCTCATAACTGTTGGGACTAAAAGCATGCGCCACCACTGCCCTGCTGGCTCTTCCTTTATTAAATATTCATTTGTTTTTATTTTATGTGTGTTGGTGTTTTGCCTGCATGTTATATCTGGGTACCTATGTCTTCAATGTCCTTGGAGGCCAGGAGAGGGCGTTGGATCCTCCGGAACTAGTTACAGACCGCTTTCATTTGCCGTTTAGGTGCTAGGACAAACGCAGGTCCTTTGGAAGAGGAGCCAGTGTTCTTAACCCCTAAACCATCTGTTCAGTCCCTACAATGTTTTTTGAGATAGGGCCTCTTTAACCTTTGGGCAGCTGTGAACTCCTAGTACTGCTGAAGAGGACTTTAAACTGAAGAGGACATTAAACTTCTTATCCTCCTTCCTCTGACTCCAGAATAGCTGGGGTTACAGGCCTGAGGCAACACCCCTAGTTTTATGGGATACTGGGGATCAATCCAGGGCTTTCCATAAACTAGGTAAGCACTCTATCAATTCAGCTATCAGCTCTTTTAAAAATTTTATTGCCTGTTTTTGCGACTAATGTCAGGGCGATGCTCATTTGTGTTCACGCCTTTACACATCTTAACCAACTACCGCCCTAACAAAGTAGCAGAACCTAAAAAAAGGTTTTAGCGAGCCCAAAGCATTCTGGATCTTTTGAATAAAGAATAGCTCGACGGTTGCCGGGAGCGGCCAAGGAGCGGCTCTCAGGCGCGTGGTGATTGGTTGAAGAAGAACTTCCGCAGGCACTTCCGACTCTAGACCCGCCCTAAGCATCGGTGATTGGTTGACTTGTGCAAGCGCTCGGTCTCTTGGGAGTTGTAGTTCTTTTGGTTCGATAGGCGACGCCTGTAAAGGCTAATAGTTGGGAGACTGTTAGCGGTCCTTGCGCTTGGTCACTGACTCCGGCGTCATGTCTCGGGTGTTGGTGCCCTGTCATGTGAAAAGTACTGTAGCCCTGCAAGTGGGCGACATGAGGACCTCCCAAGGTCGGCCTGGCGTGCTGGTCGTCGATGTCACCTTTCCTAACGTCGCGCCTTTTGAGGTGAGCGACCCCCAGTAGGCGCGATCAAAGCTTCTGGGCCGGGAAGACCTAGTAACTGTTTCCCAGGCATTTACTCGTTTACAGCCCCTGCAGTTCCTCTTGCTTTTGCGAACTGGCCCTACTCAGTAGCATATACAGTTTTTATTAGGCTAGAATTTCCTGACCTTATCTCTCCAGCATCTCTTCCCATGCCCAGCACACCACTGGAAATACAATTACGAATCTCAGCACAAGTGAGAGGGTATTTTGGTTTGGGACATGGTTGGGATCCTTAAATAATGATGTAAACTTCCCCATTCCAACGGCCCCTGCCACAGGTCAAGTGTAATTAATCTTTCTAGGTCCTTCTAGTGACTTGTTTCTTTTGTTTTTTGTTTTGTTTCTTCTTCCCCTAGTGACTTGTTTATAATTCCTAGTTGCACTTCCATCTCAGCTGACAGTGACAGGGCACTGCTTGACCTCAACACAGGACAAAGCCTGGCTTAGCATCCTGAGCCACCCGGCGACTGTGCCTCATTCTCATGGCCTTATGCGCACTGTGCTGTAATGTATGGTTATCTCCCAAGATCTTGCTTATCACTGGCTGGGAAAACCTAATTAACCTGACCCTGGAAAATCTGAGTCAGTGTGTTTGAGGTGTTATTTTGTTGTTGTTGTTGTTGTTTTGCTTTATTTGTTTTGTTTTTTTGAGACATGATTTCTCTGTGGCTTTGGAGGCTGTCCTGGAACTAGTTCTTGTAGACCAGGCTGGACTGGAACTCACAGAGATTGCCTGCCTCTGCCTCCCAAGAGTTGGAATTAAAGGCGTGCACCACCACTGCCCAGCATATATATTTTTTAAAGGAAGTATACTTTAAATAAAAATTATTTATTTATTATGTATGCAGTGTTCTGTCTGTGTGTATGCCTGCAGGCCAGAAGAGGGCACCAGATCTTACTAAAGATGGTTGTGAGTCACCATGTGGGTTCTGGGACTTGAACTCAGGACCTCTGGAAGAGCTACAGTGCTCTTAACCTCTGAGCCATGTCTCCAGCCCTATAGTTTTTTTTTTTTTAACTCGGATTACTGCATTCAGAGTCCAGAGTGCTAACCATTACACCATGGAACCCCCTTATTGTTATTTTTAAATGTTTATTTTATGTGTTTTGTCTGCATGTATGCTTGTATGCTTTCTGCATACCCGGTATGGTGGAGACCAGAAGAGGGTTCTGAATCCCCTGGAACTGGAGTTATGAACAGTTGTAAGGGACCATGTAGGTTCTGGGAACCAAACTTGACTCTCTGCAAGAGCACCAAGTGCCTTTAATCGCTGAGCAGTCTCTACAGCCCTGATATCTGCATTTTTTTAAAGTTTCATAGATGATTCTGATGGGCATCCAATGATGAAAACTACTGCCCTAGCAGTTGATACTGTAGGTCTGCCCAGCCCATTGCCTTCCCCAATCCCCTGCAGTGTACTCAACGGACTATCCTCTTATTATTATTATTATTATCTTTTTTTTTTGTTTTTTTTGAGACAGGGTTTCTCTGTATTGTTTTGGAGTCCTGGAACTCATTCTGTAGACTGGGCTGGCCTCAAACTCACAGAGATCCACCTGCCTCTGCCTCCCGAGTGCTGGGATTAAAGCTGTGTGCCATCAACGCCCGGCTTCTATCCTTTTTTTTTTTTTTTTTTTGGTTTTTCGAGACAGAGTTTCTCTGTATTGTTTAGGAGCCTGTCCTGGAACTCGCTCGGTAGACCAGGCTTGGTCACGAACTCACAGAGATCCGCCTGCCTCTGCCTCCCGCGTGCTGGGATTAAAGGCGTGTGCCACCACCGCCCGGCCTATCCTCTTATTCTTATTCTGGTCTTTTTTTTTTTTTTTTTTTTTGGTTTTTCGAGACAGGGTTTCTTATTCTGGTCTTAGTCTGCTAATTCCTTCTTAGTTAAGAGAGACACAGACAAAGACAGATACACAGAAGGAGAGAACCTGAGAACCTCTACTATTATCAAATTGAGCTACAGTTCTTTCCCACGGTTCTCACTCTGGTACTTTAAAAAATATGCTACTTTTTTTTGTTTGGGGGTATCTCACGAATCTCAGAGTGGCCAAGAATAGCTGAGGCTTATCATGAACTTCTGGTCCTCCTGCCTCTACCTCCCAGGCACTGGGATTCCAGGTATGCCTCACGCACCTGGTTTATGCAGTGCTGTGCCTCCAGCATAGAACTTCAAACATACTAGACAAGGCAAGCACTGAACCACCTGAGCATATCATCAGCCCAGCATATTGCTTTACCTACCTATGTTATGCACTTAGCAAGGATGCACTCATCCTTTCAGGCTTCACATGTCCATTTTCTGCTTTCTTTCGGGTTAGGGTCCTGGCCTCTGATACTATCTCAGATAACATATGGTTTGTTTGCATGACTTACTGGGCTGTGAGCATTTAGGAAAGCAAAATTATGTTTGGGCCCCAGGAATTGTTGACTTGCTTAGCAAAAGTGTATATTCCAAAAGAAAGACTATGGCACTGTGCTCAGGCCTCATTTCTCATGGTGGGTTGGGTGTATTCTAGTTACAGGAGATCACATTTAAGAATTACTACACAGCTTTCTTGAGCATCCGTGTCCGTCACCATACCCCACTGCACACGCCATCCAAGTGGGTCACCTGTCTGCGGGACCACTGTTTGATGCCTGACCCACACAGTGAAGAGGGAGCCCAGGAGTATGTATCACTCTTCAAGCACCAGGTCAGCTGGTCTCAGCATTGCTGGGGAATCTCAGATGACGACTCTTGCCTAGGGGTTGGGCTGACTAGCAGGAGGAAGAGTGGGGCAAAACTGGCTGGGCTGTGGCTTTCATGAAGGCACTGGGAGCGGCCACTGCTCTGTCCTTCCCAAAGCCTTGGGGAAACATTTGGTTTACTATTGGTTGGGAGGTTTCTGGTAATGAGCTGAGTCTTCAGTGGGTCCCTTTTTCTTTTCTTTTCTTTTTTTTTTCTTTCTTTTGGTTTTTTGAGAGATGGGTAGCTCTGTAGACCAGGTTGGCCTCAAACTCACAGAGATCTGCCTGCCTCCAAGTGCTGGGATTGAAGACTTTGCCCTGCCACCACCTAGCTATTTTTGTTTTGTTTTGTTTGAGGCAGGGCTTCTCTGTGTAACCCCGGCTGTCCTGGAACTTATTTTGTAGACTAGGCTGGCCTTGAACTCAGAAAAAGGGATGCCTGCCTCTGCCACCCAAGTGCTGAGATCAAAGGCATGCACCACCACACCCTGCTCAGTGGGTCATGTTGTATGTGTATCAGATGCTGTGTGACATGAGCAGAGTACTAGAGCTGCGTCTGATCCTGCGGCAGCCGTCACCACTATGGCTGTCTTTCACAGTGGAGGAACTGCAGATCTACCAGCAGGGACCAAAGGTGAGGGACTAACTGAACCCTACTAGCTAGCTCTTTCCTTAAAAAGCTTCTCAATAGCTAGGAGAGATGGACACTGAGGTGAGTGGTGGGTGAGGATGACAAGACTCAGGGAAGCCTTCATGAATGTCATAGGAGAGTGGATGCAGACGTTCATAATCTAAGGTGAGGCTCTGTCCAAGCACCCCCTGGCCTTTGAGACCACCCACCACTTTTAGGTGCTGGGATATACTTGTGTTGCTTATGTTCCTGGATTCTCCTTCTGCATAGCAGAGCATCTTAGTAATCTGATTGTCCCTTTGATCTTACATGGTCCTGAACAGGGATTCCCAGTGTCTCAGCCTCAAGGGGCCTTTTCTTTGCTCTCAGATTCTGCCCCACTTAGGACAGTATGCCTTTGCTTTGCAGAGCCCCTCCCTGACTTTCCCCAAGTGGCTTTCCCACCCAGTGTCCAATGAACAGCCTGCTCCCCGCCTTGAGGTAAGCGTTCTAATACTGGGTGTTAACTATATATACATGGTTCTAAGATCCAGGGCATGACCATGTGGGCCTCTGCTATCCTGAGGCCAGCCGGGAATATAATTCTGGTAGAGTACTTATCTAGCATGCATAAGGTCCTGGTTTTGATTCCCAAAACCACAAACATTTGAGACTGGACCTATGGTTCAGTGTCTTCTTGGGTATTGTGTGAGATTTGAGTCATCCCTGGTATAGGTATGGATGGCTTCCTGAAGGAACATCAGGACCAATCACACACTCTGCAAATTATCTGGGAGTGTTAGTGGTTTCAGCTGGAGTGCCCCATATCTCTAAGGGCACTGCTGGGGAAGAGATTCATGGTCAGCATTCCTTCTTTCTGGAACAGGGTCTCCCAGACCCCAGCAGAGTATCCTCTGAGGTGCAGCAGATGTGGGCGCTAACAGAGATGATTCGGGCGAGTCATACTTCCACCAGGATTGGCCGCTTTGATGTGAGTGATCGCATCCCTCTGCTCGGTTCACTTTGCTTTGAGCAGCTCAGAACTGATAGTCCCTTGTGTTGCAGGTGGATGGCTGCTATGATCTGAACTTGCTCTCCTACACGTGAGCGGCAGCTTCTGCTTGAGACATTGGTCTTCTGTGCCCGTCCAGGCGTGGTCTGGCCACCAGAGGCTGAAGTGCATTGTTCCCTGTGCATCCAAGCTCTATCTGGCCAAAGGAATTCTTGACATTCACCTGGTTGTTTTAGCATGAGTTCCTAGGGGGCACTTTCTGTCTTTGTCTGTCTGACATGCAAATTCTGTCTCTTCCTTTCAAAATTCACAGGTTCTGCTTGGAATCATTGAGTTCCTCCTGTCTGTCTGGCCAGTATGCACACCCCTGTCTTCTACCATTTTCCCCATTGTTGAGATAAGCCTGATCCAGGTAGCTCAGGAAGGCCTGCTGTTTTGACATTCATGACCTGGGAAGCTTGAGGAAGAGATGCCCCCTATTCATTCCTCGGCTTCTGCTAGTGGCTTTTTTCCTTTTGTATTACATCCATTAAAAAGAAAGTATCCTAGAGCCTAGCACGGTGGCACACACCTTTAACCTTATCCATCTGTGAGTTCAAGGCCAGCCTGATTAACACAGTGAATCCCAGGCCAATCAGGGCTACACAGTAAGACCTTGATTTTGGTGGTTGGGGGAAGAAAAGAAAAAGAAATGCCCCTTTTTAAATTTGTCTGTTAGCCGGGCGGTGGTGGCGCACGCCTTTAATCCCAGCACTCGGGAGGCAGAGGCAGGCGGATCTCTGTGAGTTCGAGGCCAGCCTGGACTACCAAGCGAGTTCCAGGACAGCCTCCAAAGCCACAGAGAAACCCTGTCTCGAAAAACCAAAAAAAAAAAAAAAAAAAAAAAAAATTGTCTGTTACCAGCCTAGGAGGCAGAGCTGGGATTTGGGAAGCTTGAGTGCTTTTGTCTCTGAGCTGGTCCCTGAAATGCATTCTCTGTCAGATCTGGGCAGGTGCTTTGGGCCAGCTGGGGATTGAGAATGAGGCCTCCAATCTATTTGTCGTCACACTCCATGTGAAGCACATCAAGAATCTTTCTCCCAGTTGCTTCTTGCCAGTCACTCTCAGGATGATGAAGGTCAACCTTGGGGGTAGTGTGTCCAAGTGAAGGCTTCACTGATGCCTTTTGGGAGTTGAGGTCCTCCATTACCCCAGAGCAACCACTAGATGATGAAGGCTGCTGCTGTTTCCTGTGATAAAATTCAGTTTCCTTCTAGTTCTTCCTGATATTGCCCCTGGGGACTACTATAAAGCAGTACTACAAAGTATCTTGGACCTGGAAAATTGAACATGTGTATGTGAAACAGTTTTTTGGGAAAGTCTAGCCACCTTCGGTAACCTGCATTCTTGTCATTCAGCCTTCAGAAGGTAGTGTCTTCACCTGCAAGACCATTGTTAAGCCCATCGAATCTTCAGCCTTCCTGAAGGCAGTATCTTCACTTGCAAGACCATTGTTTAAGCCCATTCAGTTTTTGCTGAAAGAGTGATCGCCTTTAGTCCTGTGCTCAAGGAACAATGGTCTTCAGTATGCTTGAGCAAGAGGATTCTGGGGTGGTGGGGATCATGCATAATTCATAGCTGTGTTCCTAAGCTCCAGCACTGGAGCAAGATAAATAAAGGCTTGTGGAATATGTGACCGTGTTTGCTGCTTGTGTGTGCCCAGTGTGAGAGCTAGAGACCACTATAGAGGCCAGGCCACAAAGGTACTGTGCCTGCCCAGAGGGTTTCACCCTCTAGTGAATGCTCCACCTCCCACAGCTATTTGACCTGAATGTGTAATTCCGGCTTTTCAGCCATTTGCAGAACTTTGACCTTCTGGAGGCAGGGAGTTCTAACCCCCAATTCTGGTTCTAGGCAGCCTATTCTGCTCTGAACTGCCTTACTTGCTTTTATTGGACTGTGGAATTGCCTGAAGCCATAGGAAGTCAGCACTCTGTTTTAAATCCCAGCCTGCTCTATGGACTTCCCACCCCCTTCCTATCCCCCGCGGGCTAGAAAGACCTGTCCAAGCAGGGGTTTGGACTACATCTCCCAGCGTGCCTGGCAGAGTAGTGTGGCCTCTGTGTGCCGGGCTGCTCCAGTTGCGGGTGACAATGCAGCGGACAGTGAGTGTGGTGGCCCCTCTGTGTTTTCGCCTGCAGACACAATCCTTGGTTCAAAGCCGACAACTCAGTTGTGTACAGGTGGGGTGAAGGGCCCTGGGCTCTGTTACTGGTCTTGGAGGGTGGGGGAGGAAGCTGATGAGACTGAGCCCTGACGGCTTCAAGCCTGGCTGTCCACAGGATGTGCTCCGCAGGACTCCACTCTATGACTTCCACCTGGCCCATGGAGGAAAAATGGTGGCTTTTGCGGGGTGGAGTCTGCCTGTGCAATACCGGGACAGTCACGTTGATTCACACCTGCATACACGCCGGCACTGCTCTCTCTTTGATGTGTCCCACATGCTGCAGGTGAGCCACAGGCTGAATCTGGCCTTCTCCCCATCTACAGTACTCTTCAGCTTTGAGGATATTTCGACTATAGTGTGAGGGACTAACTCAGGTCTTCTGATTGTTCATCTCTGATCTTTCCTGCCTGCTTCCACTATGTTTTTTAATACCCTTGGGTTTGCTAGAGCTGTACCTACCCTCATCTGCTGTGCTGGGTATTGGTTTGGAAATTGGTTGGGTATCTTAGCAAGGTGCTAGGTCCCCTTGTATTCTTAGACTGTGCTCAGTCCCAGGAGGTTGGGAGGAATAGGGGAAATGAGAAGGTAGGACCTCTGCCATCTCCAGAATCCAAAGGCTGTAGTCAGTCACTTCTGGGCTGAACTGTGGTATGGACAAATGAAGGAAGCTTTCTTGCGTAGCAGCCTTTTAGATTACAGATATTGCAGTGGCCTGAGTCTTTCCATGTTTTCCCTAGACCAAGATATTTGGTCGTGACCGAGTGAAGCTGATGGAAAGTATAGTGGTTGGAGACATTGCAGAACTAAAGCCTAACCAGGTAGGCCCATTTTATTTTTCTCAATATTAAGTCCTTGCCTCAAGCTTAGGAGATACCAAGAGAAGTCAGATACAGCTTTTCAAGGCTTGCTACCTTGATGGAGTCTTTGGGTCATTTCCAGGTATCCAGCCAGCTTTGGAGAAACACTATCCCAGCCTTACTACATTGGGTTGGGAGGCTAGAAACCAAAGTTTATATGCTCTGACCTCATGCTTCCCATACCTTTGGTATTCATGGTATGATCCCTCCCTAAACGAGCAGCTTCTCCATTTTCTAGGAATGTGTTAGGAATATGCTTAGGTACTGCTCTGGACCTGCTGAACCAGAACCTTAGTTTTTAACAAGATCCCTAGGTGGTAGCCGGGTGTTGGTGGCCTTTAATCCCAGCACTTGGGAGGCAGAGGCAGGCGGATCTCTGTGAGTTCAAGGCCAGCCTGGTCTACAGAGGGAGTTCTAGGACAGCCTCTAAAACAATACAGAGAGACCTTGTCTCGAAAAACCAAAAACCGGGCAGTGGTGGCTCACGCCTTTAATCCCAGTACTTGGGAAGCAGAGGCAGGCGGATCTCTGTGAGTTCGAGGCTGGGCTGGACCGATAGCCTCCAAAACAATACAGAGAAACCCTGTCTCGGAAAAAAAAAAAAAAAGATCCCTAGGTGGTTCACATGACCCATCAATCTCATGGTTCGGCCATCCAGTTGCAAGGCTAAGGCCTTAGAGTGTTTTGATCTCATTACTGAAGTCTGTGCTGGGAGCCTGTGGGGTCATGAAGATGGTCTTTGAAGCTTTTATCCTAGAGGTTAGCACATGGGTGGAGTTATCTGGGTGAGGTGAAGCAGTAGTTCCTAGGTGTGATGGAATAAGTATGAAACATGTTTCTAAGAATTGAATAGTGAGTGAGCCAATTGAGTCTGGGGAGGGGGTGAAATTTCCTTGACAAATAAAGTTCAAAGATCCTAGATTTGATCCTTACCTTGCACCCTTTATCCAGAGATCTGTCCATGAATTTTGGTAGCTGAGCAGATCAAAGAATGTTTCTGGCTCACACTTGGCTTTGGCTTTCTGTACCTGGAGATAAGGATGTTTTGCTTCAATGCTAGGGGACACTGTCACTGTTTACTAATGAAGCTGGAGGCATCTTAGATGACTTGATTGTGACCAATACTTCTGAGGGGCACCTGTATATAGTGTCTAACGCTGGCTGCTGGGACAAGGACTTGACTCTCATGCAGGTACATCTGTCTTTTATTCTAGGTACTTTGTATTCTTGGTTTATAAAGCAGTGCCCAGTGCAGATAGGGGCTCAGGAAATGACTCTTAATAAAAGAACAGCCAATAGCCGGGCGTTGGTGGTGCACGCCTTTAATCCCAGCACTCGGGAGGCAGAGGCAGGCGGATCTCTGTGAGTTCGAGACCAGCCTGGACTACCAAGTGAGTTCCAGGACAGCCTCCAAAGCCACAGAGAAACCCTGCCTCGAAAAACCAAAAAAAAAAAAAAAAAGAACAGCCAATAGACTGAAGAGAAGGCACTCTCTGGTACACAACAGGGTTTGGGGATGGGGACTAGAGGAGGTGGGGAGATAATGCTACCCCTGCCTCTGCAATGAGCATCCTCTGGTAAGGGTGAGTGAGCTGACACACTTGGGCTCAGGTCATCCTTCCCACATAGCAGCTGTGTGCCTTGTAAGATAGGAACCAGACTATTTTCTAACTGCTCAGTTCTGCAATGTCCAATCCATAGTAGGTGCTCAGTGATGGTTTCAGACACTGATGTATCTGTTATCCATTCCAGGACAAGGTGAAGGAGTTCCAGAACAGGGGCAGTGATGTAGGCCTGGAGGTGGTAGATAATGCCCTGCTAGCTCTGCAAGGTGAGAGTGCCAGGTTGGGGCTGGAGCCAGCCCTTGCCTTCCTGGCTTCATTTGCTTCTCTCTACGGAAGCTATCCCAAGAGGAAGGTATGAATGCTGCGTTTGTATTTGTATGACGTAATTCCAAAGTTAAGCATCTTTTCTGTCCTCTCTGCAAAGCTGTCCATGGGCTACAGACAAGGGCATCCTCCCCTCTGGCAGGGTTGGGCTTGCTTGGGATATGTTCTGCTTCCAGGAGGTGCTGGGCCCAAGACCCTTGGTTATTCTCTTTGGGCTTAGGACCCACTGCAGTGCAAGTGCTACAGGCTGGTGTGACAGATGACTTGAGGAGACTGCCCTTCATGACCAGTGCTGTGATGGATGTGTTTGGTGTGTCTGGCTGTCGTGTGACCCGTTGTGGCTATACGGGAGAAGATGGTGTGGAGGTATGTTGAGAAGTAGTTATTCCCCATGGTGTCTCATGCCTGTAATCCCAGTGCTTATGGAGACAGAAGCAGGAACATCTTAATTCATGGTGGGTTGGGGTTCCATAGTGAGTTCCAGGCTAAGCAAGGCTACATAGTGAGAGCCTGTCTCAAAGAAAATAAAGCCAAAACAAAAAATTTAGTTGTAAAGCTTGGAATGGGATGGCACATGCCTATAATCCCAGCACCCAGTAAGTAGAGACAGGAGAATGGTAAGTTACAGGCCAGCCCGGGCTACCTGTCTCAGAAAGAGGGATGGGGGTGGGGAAATAAAATGTGGTGGTAGAATGTTTCTCACTCTTGTACAAGCAAAAGTGGTAAAAGTGGTTACAGGATTCAAGACTTTCTGCTCTCTGGTCCTTTGTGCAGATCTCAGTGCCAGCAGTAGGGGCAGTCCACTTGGCAACTGCTCTGCTGGAAAACCCAGAGGTGAAGCTGGCAGGACTAGCAGCCAGAGACAGCCTGCGCTTGGAGGCAGGCCTCTGTCTGTATGGGAGTGACATTGATGAACATACCACACCTGTGGAGGGCAGCCTCAGCTGGACACTGGGTGAGCTGGGCTAATGTTCGAGGGGCCCTGGAGATTAGAATACCTTTTAATAAGACTAGCTAGCCCATAACTACTCCTAAGGTTGTAGATGCTGGAACATGTAACTCAGCCTTGCTGAGCTTTCTCTCCCTGAAAGTGCTACTGTGGCTTTGCCTATTGTAAACTGAGGACCCTAAGTATGGCTTCCAGGGGGTAGGAGATGACTGACTGACTGTAGTGCTGAGGAAGACTGAGCCCAAGAGCCCAAGTGATGCTTGATGGATGTCACTTGTGGCCTTGTTCTGGGCTTCTGAATAGCTTACATCTGGTGTGTTCTGTTTCAGGGAAGCGCCGCCGAACTGCTATGGACTTCCCAGGAGCCAAAATCATTGTTCCCCAGCTGAAGGGTGAGGTGCAGAAGAGACGTGTGGGGTTGATATGTGAAGGGGCCCCAGTGAGAGCACACAGTCCTATCCTGAGCACAGAAGGCACTGTGATTGGTAAGTGGTCCAGGATGGGGACATTGGCTGGCAAGGGTGTCCAGGGTAGGGATATTGGGCTGGCAGGGTGGTGTTAACCTATGGTCTATGCATGGACAGGCACAGTGACCAGTGGGTGCCCTTCACCCAGCTTGAAGAAGAATGTGGCCATGGGTTATGTGCCATTCAAGTACAGTCGGCCAGGGACACAGCTGCTGGTGGAAGTTCGGCGGAAGCAGCAAATGACGGTGGTTAGCAAAATGCCCTTTGTGCCCACAAACTACTACACTCTCAAGTGAAGATGGCCCATGGAAAAGCCCCTCCCTCCACAAGTCTTGCCCAAGAAGGCCTTCCATAGTGCTTAATCAGAGTAGTCAAGTAGAACTCACAGGGGTTTGTTGTGTCTGGCCGGGGTGGGGAGAGCATCCCATCTTCCTAGTGGAGCTATCCTAACTTTAGGGCTCTTTTTTTTTTCTTTTTTTCTTTTCGAGACAGGGTTTCCCTGTGTACTGTGTAGCTTTGGAGCCTGTCCTGGAACTAGCTCTTGTAAAACAGGCTGGCCTTGAACTCAGAGACCTGCATGCCTCTGCCTCCCAAGTGCTGGGATTAGGAGCATATGCCACTGTAGGGCTCAATTTTAAATGACAAATCACCTTACTTAATGTCCTATTTTAGTCCACAATCCTACTAACCTTATTCTGCCAGGTGCTGGCTATAGAAAAAATGTCTGCCTTTGTGTGGACGATAACACCTGCCCAACCTACCTCACTATGGTTTCTCGAATTTCTAAGGGCTATTACTGTGGGCAATGTGAGCTTAGGTACCTTCCTCACTTTGCTTCCCATGAATGTATACTCTTCCTTTCCTTGGATAAAAATGACTCCTGACTCAGTGTCGGCTGAGTTGTTCCTGTGTGCAAATGTAGGGATGGCTGAGCAAACACAGACTTACCCTTCCACATTCCCTAGTTAACCTAGCCTGCTGTACAGCCGCAAGACATGGCAAGCTTGGTACTTGTGCTTACCTTAGCTCTTGTGAATAATTGTACTAACTACAAAAAAAAATAAAGTTTCCTTCTGGGGCTGGAGAGCTGCTCAGTAGTTAACAACACTGACTGCTCTTCCAGAGGACCAGGGTTCAATTTCCAGCACCCACATGGCATGTCTATAATCTAGCTTGAAGTGATCTGACACCCTCATACAGACTTAAATGCAGGCAAAACACCAATGCACATAAAATAAAATAAAAACATCATAAGAACGATTCCTTCCTTCTTACTTGCCATGGTCTTTAGCTTTATTGTTCTTTGTTCACTGGGTTTCTGGGGTGCCAATCCAATGCCTGTCGCCTTGTTCTCCAACACAGGCTGAGTAGGCTCTCCTTGAGAGGGGCCAGGTATATACAGAAGTGGTGTGGTGGCATACCCCTTTAATCCCAGCACTTGTGAGTTGGAGACAAAAGTGTTGGAAGTTCAGGGTCATCTTCAGTCATATGCTGAGTTGAAGGCCAGCTTGGACAGCATGAGACAGTAACTCAACTGTCCCAATCCCTCCCACTCCCAAGTTACTAATGGGGATATTGCCCCTGTTGGGCAACCTACCACCACTCTAGGGAGCTGGCATCAGTTCTCCACCTCTTTAAATTCCTGTAATTTGGATTCTGAGGGCAACACAACCCAGGCTCCCTCACCAGTTGCCTGTGTGCACACACCCTTGTCCTATTGGAATAACCACACAACCGATGCACTTCTGTGTTTAATATGACACATCTTCAGTTGCTCCTGGGGTGGAATGTGAGACCTTGACTCTTTGTAGTGATGTCAGTGGGTGGATTTGAGGCTGTAGAGGACATCTTTCTGCCACACAGATGCTTCGCTGGAGTAGGTATGAGGAGCTCAGTACAGTTTCATTTATAGTAGACCTGCTACAGTCTTTGTAGTCAAAGGCTGCCAGAAGGCTATGTGACATCTAACAAAGAGACAGTGGGACACCTGAGGTAGCAGTGGCCCAGCTGAGACAGGCAGAAATACAACCATTAGAGGAGACAGATCCAGGGCTCTAATGTGTTTTGAAACCTCTTTGGACCCATATGATGAAGGGCTCAGAGCTATTTGGTTTGTGGCTCACTCTTACTGATTGATACTCCTAGCTAGGGGTTGAAATAATACTAGCAGGCTTTTAGGAGAAGGTCCTTGTCAAATGGGAAGTGACTCTTAGTGGCACGGAAGGGACTCTTAGTTCACTTAGTCTCGCAGGTATTCAACTTGCCCCCAAAGAACAGAGAACTAGGTCAGCTGGGAAATGATAACTTCCTATGCCTGCTGGGCGGTGGTAGCACACACCTTTAATCCCAGCACTCGGGAGGCAGAGGCAGGAGGATCTCTGTGAGTTTGAGACCAGCCTGGTCTACAAGAGCTAGTTCCAGGACAGCCTCCAAAGCCACAGAGAAACCCTGTCTCAAAAAAGAAATACAAAAACAACAACAACAATAAAAAGAAAAACAAAACAAAAAAACCCAAAAAAACCTTCCTCTGCCTGACTCAGACCTGGAAGATTAGCTGGGTCAGGGAGGTACATGTTTGGTGCTCTGGTCCAGGCCAGGATTAGCTGGCTTCTGCCTATAAAGCAAAGCCAAGGAAATCAGGGCTTAGGGGAGAACAGACTTCCCTTATAAATCTCAGAACTGGTTAACCTCAAAATTCCTCTTAGAAGAACAAATCTCTAGAAGATCACGTCCGAGGAAACGAGGAGGACAGGATAAAGACAAGGTGAAAGGGACTGCTGACCTCCCCAACCAAAATGCTTCTAAGCTCTGACCCTTGACATAAGTCCTAGGGTAACTACACTGGGGTAGAGAAATGTCCCCTAGCCAGTACCTGGAGCTGTTGGAGGCAAGGCTGAAGGCAATGGAGGCTCACCCTGGAAACACTATGGTACTCTAGTCCCCCAACCCCAAGCCCTCTGCAGTTGTCCAACGGGCCTGGGCAGCAGCAGGATACAACATAGGAGCCAGCAGTCCCAGTGACGTCTCTGGAGACGCTTCTGCTGCTGCCTCCCCTTATTCTCTGTGGGTTTTGAGAGGTTCATTTGCTGCCATTTCCCTGAAAGTAATGGAGAGAAGCAAGGTCACTTCATGAATAGCAGACTAGTCACCCGTGAATACTTGTTATGAAGCAGGCAGTTCTAAAAGCAAATTAGATCAGGCCACTGTCTTGCTGAGTCAGTCCTTCACCTGCTCCATTGTCCCCATGCTCCTGTGTTCAAAGTTCACCATCCTCTCCTAGTCTCCTAATATGTCACATTTGTCCCTGCTAGTGGGTCCGTTTTTATCCATTTTTTTTCTTATCCAACATACTGTGTTGTCCTCTCTCTTTGGTCTCAGGTTAGGTGTGATGGGGGAGGGTGGTGCTCCCCTGAGCCACTTTGCATTTGTACTTATTTTCCTTCTAAATCTCTTGCTTCCCCTGCAGCAGAGTCTGGGTTGTCCTTGTTTTCTGGGCTTGCTGTGACCTCTGCCATCTGGTAGAAGCACAGAGATTGGCTGAATGAAATGACTTGATAAGTAAGCTGTTTTTTTTTTTTTCTTCAGAGATTAGGAGACTGACTTGATGAGGTAGTGTGCTAAGAATAGAGGCTCTTAGGCTGGGGGTTATAGCTCCAATGGTACAGTACTTGCCTAGAATAATACTCTTGCTTTCCTAATGAAGGACTTTCCAACCAAGGGATTTGTTTCCAATAGACCTACCTCCCTACCACTTCACCTTTCTAGAATTATGGTAACACCATCATCCGTCCCCACTGCATATGCTGATAGGAGGCTCTACAGGCACTGGTAAATGTCCAACTAGAATCCTGAGCTCTACCTGCAGAATTGGAGGATTCTTGCAAAGGCCACTAAGCTGGTGCACTCACATCCTGTGAATTCTCTTCCCTGTCACCAGCACTCTCAGCACTCGAGTGTCCTCTGCCTGCCAAGCATGGGGTTGGGAGAGACAGAGATTTACTCACCATGAAGGGAAATGTGTGGAGCCATCAGGTGTGGATCCATTCTGTCCACCCAGACCTGGAGGCAGGAACACACCCAGAGCTGCAGGAGGCTGAGGGTGGGGATCTGAGCAGGCATTAGCTCAGGTAAGGGGTCAGAGTATAGTTTAAGAGACCGGAGTGGGATGCTAGGGACTAGTAGCATTGTCTGGTAAAGATTTCTGAGAAACAGTTACAACGTGATGATGGACAGGTGGGGATTCTGGTGTAAAATGGTATGGGGGTGTAAGTCTGGGTACAACGAGGCTTCTGGGGGACCAGTGATAGTCTACGCGGACACAGGAGAAACAAGTGGTACAGCTTGGTGGTGGCAGGGGCAGTCAGGCCAAGGAGGTTCGTAGGGAGCCTCACCTGGACGGTGATACAACCCGGTCACTGTGTTCCCGTAGAACCCCCACGCCAGCTGGATGCCCAGGAGACTTAACACCAACCACAGCAAGAGCAGCTTGAAGAGAGTCACTCGCATGTCTTGTGTCTCCCACTCCCGCAGGAACTCGCTGCCCAGGGTGCCCAGCGCTCCGAGCACAGTAGTGGGCAGAGCTTGCAAAAACTGCCCAGACCAAGGTTCCGCCATGACTGGCCAGCGCCCCACCGGGTGTACTGTCACCGTATTAGTTCCTACTGCGCAAGCGTATGGGCTTCCGGGGTTAGACCTGTAGGTGCGCACGCGTAATGTCGGGCAACGACGATCTACTTCGCTTGCGCGAAGTGTTGGCAGTTTGGGGCAGGGCTTTAAAACCGCGCAGGCGCACCCATCCCCACCCAGCTTACTTAAAGGATGAGTGATTCGGTGAGTACAAAATAGCAACTCGGTCCTTTATAGCCCCGGAGTTCCCGTGATGCTCTACGCGGCTGCAATGATTGGTTAAGCGTCTTGCTTTTTGGGCGTGGTTGCGCTCTTGAGCAATCGTGGATGAACTGCGAGCGTGCGCGCGTGCGCGGGGCCGCGACTGGCGCCAGCTCGAGCCCGCAGGGCGCTCGAGGGCGCGCACGTCGCTCCCCGCCCTCCCGCCACCGCCCGCCCTCGTTCGCTCGCGCTCCCCGCCCGCCGCCCGCGGTCCTCCGTCGGTTCTCTCCTTAGTCCGCCGTCTCCCGCGGAGCTGCCGGTCCTCGTTTCCGAGCTTGCGGACTCGCGGACAGGCGTCCTCAGTGCGAAGAGGCCGAACTTGGAGTCGTCGCCTTGAGGTGAGCAGGAGCATTCCCTCCAGCCCCCTCGGCTCCGGGCCCGGCCGGCCGGCCGGCACTTTTCCGGCCACCCGCCCGTCGCCTGGTCGCGGTCGCGCCCCACCTGCTGCTCTCGGCAGGCAGCCCCTGGCCCCGGCCCCTGACCCGGGGCCCCGCGCCCGAGGCGGCGGCCCCGCCCGCGCAGTCCCCGGAAGCGCGCCCCGCCGCCTCCAGTCCCCCTTCCCCCGCCCGGCCGGGCCTGGTGGAGCCCTAGCCGCCCGCCCTCCCCGTCGCTTCCTCTCAGGGCTGCGCCGGGCTGGGCGGGGGCTCCCGGCCGGCCCGCGACCGTGCTGGGTAGTCTACCACTGTGAAGCGCGCGTGGCTGTCGGGAGTTGAAATAGGCAAGAAACTCTTTTACAACTCCATTTTGCTTTTTACATTTAATGTGGATCATTAATCACCGTTTTGTACCGGGTGAAGACAGTAATTCTTTGGGTGGATTTTCTGTTTTCAAAGCCGTATTCTTAGAGATTGTGTAAGTAAAAGATTGTTTTGAAATCTTGGCGGTTAAGACTGTATGGGGGAAGGTATTTTCCAGTTGAAAAAACATTTAAAAAATATTTGGAGAGGTTGCATCAAAATAGATGCATTTCTACTTGAAGTTACTACTTTAATTGGGAATCACTTGCTGATCAGGGTTCCATTTTCAGGTCGTTTTCATGAAATTGCACTTTTTGCACCCAAATCTTTTTTGGTTTTGTTTTTTAATTTGTTTAGTAGCATAAAGTGGAAAATTGACACCATGTTTTTTTGTTCCAGAATTGGTTCTGACTGTATTTTCTAATAGTCCTCACTAAGAATTTTGACCTCTGCTGGTTATTCATATAGTTCTTTCTATATCTTCAGACATTCTTTTGAAATAAGTGTTTTTTGTAGGTTATATGTAACCAGACTATATTCCTCTGGCAAACCTGGAGGGATGGAAACTCATATTAGGATGTTGTATTTGGTGAGAATTTTCAGCCATTTAGTGTCACATGTCCAAGTGTGTATGTACCCTGTGGATGGCTTCTCGCCTTCCACATGGCTAGCTAGCTTGGTAGTGATACTGTTTGAAGCATTTAACACAAGTATTCTTGTTAACTAAAAATACACGGCTAGGTCTTGTTACTGACGGCTCTCAGCAGTTATTGTGAGGATTTGTCTACTTTATGTGGAGCAGTGATGTTTCTTAGGGACATAAAATATATAGAGCTTGTTTTTTCTATTTCATTTTTTTCCTCTTTGGTGCTTGAAATTAAACTCAGGGCTTGGGGCGTATTGAGCAGGTGCTATATGTCTCTGAGCTTCGTTCCAGCCCTATAACTGAGTCAAAGTCCAGTGTGCAGCTTACATAGTCTCTACTCAGAAATCTCCTGAAGAAGAGAATAGGAATATATGTAATCTGCCAACTTTTCCCCCTATAGATGTAGTATTTTAGACTGGGAAAGATTTAAAGGATTTGTAGGCTGACTCCATTTGTAGGTGTGGAGACTGAGTCCAGGGAGTTTTTTTTCAAGAGAAAGGTTTATTAGTACTCTGCAGCGAGCACAGTGGGCTGATAATGACAGGAGAGTCATCTGCCTACAACTTAAAAGAAATGGACACAGGGTTTGACTTGAGCCCTAGAACTTGCTTTGTAGATCTAGCTGGCCTTCTGAATAGTGCTGGGATCACTGGGTGTGTACCGCCATTCCTGGTGAGACTTAAATTTTTGAAGGTCATATGTTTAATTAGACTAGAACTGCTTTTTTATGTACTCTCAGCTAAAAGCAGGGGTTCCTGACTACTCTCCTGTGTTTCTTTACCTTTTAGATTGTGCATATTTAGGGAGAATCTGGTCAGTTTATTTGCCAAATAAATTTCAAGTCTTTGTACATAGCCCTTTTCTGGCTTAGCCTTGCCTTTGAGTTTGTTAGTTTTCTTGAGGATCCAACCTCTGGGAGTTGACTGTTACCAAAGACAACATAATGAGGTTCCCCTAGAATGTTTTCAGGCAACTATATCCCCTTTGATTAGATTTTAACTGGAATTGGTGAAGATGCATGCTTCACATAAGTAGTGGTCTGTGTAGTGTGAGCGGTTTTGTTGGAGTGTTTTCATAGTCTTTATACTTTGTCCATCATTAACTCCCTTTAACGTCCATCCTCGTCTGCTAGAAGAGTAAAATGTTCAGGTGTTTCTTGGTTCGTGGGGTGGAGTGGAAGTAGTAAGAAGAGGAGGCGGCTGGATGTTAAAACTAGTCTTTTGACTGGTTTAAAGAGCCAAGAGATGGTTAACCTTGTTGAAAGACTAATTTGAGATCACTGGATTTCTATAGATAGTACATTTGGTTCCATTACATTATAACTACTAACAATGATGACATATTGTGAACAAATGCTGAATTTAAAAATTGAAAATAGGTTAGGTGAGAAACCTATAATTGAAGTACTCCAGGATGTATGATTGGGCTATAAACAAAATCCTGTCTCAAAAAAAAAGGTTCTTAATAATGTCCTCTCTTCTTTATGCTTCTATCCAGTGGACCTCAGATGTTACACCAAAGCATTAGTAATAACTGTATGTTACTTACCTATTTTTGTGGTTCTGAGAATTGAACCCAACTTTGATAACTTTTCAGCCTGAGGCTTGAGCCTAGGAGATTGCACATACTCAGCAAGGGCTCGGCTACGGAAGTATATCCCCAACCCTGATTGCACTTTTGTTTTGAGATAGTCTCATTACACTGTCAGGGTATGACCATGAACTCATCTGCAGCCTAGACTAGTCTTGAACTTTCAACCTTCCTCAGTCTCCCCAGTAACTGGGATTCCAGGCCTATGCCATCAGGCCAGATGTAACTATATGTTATTATTATTTTTATGAGACAGTTTTACTCCATAGGTGATACTGGTCTGGAAATTCACCATGTAGCTCAGACTGGCCTTGAACTTGTTAGCAGTTCTTCCTTAGCCCTCCTAAGTGCTGGGGTTGCAGATGTGAGCCTATCTTATAACACTTAGGCATGTGTCTTACTGATGTGTTTTGGTGACATTAAATGTTTGTGATAATAGATTTCAAAAGTAGTTTGAAGTTAGTAATTATTATAAAATCCCTACCCATCCCCCAGTACGGTTTCTCCGTGTAACCCTGGCCATCTTGGGACTTGCTCTGTAGACCAGGCTAGCCTCAACTCAGAGATCCTACCTGCCTCTGCCTCCCAAGTGCTGGCATTAAAGGCTTTTGCACCACCACCACCCTATTTCAAGTGACTCTTGTTTGATTTTGAGATACTCTTATGTGTAGCTCTGTCTGGGTTGGCACTCTGTATAGTCCAGGCTGGCCTCACAAGGGTTACAGGTGTAAACCACCATTCCAGACTCATTTTAGCCTATGGTGCTGTAGTATTTTTAAGGAAGGGTTGTATTTTCTTGTTTATGCAAACCATGTGAGTGAAAACAAGGTAGGCAATAAAGCTGCTTACACTGGGTCTTGGTTTCATCTTATTTGTATTTGCTCCAAGTGATTCTGGATGCATTTATTTTTCTTTTGACTGTGCCCTTTTATACTAAGTGAGCAAAGTATGAGATACAGGATTATTAAATTGTAACTAATTTGCAGTTCATGCCAAAATGAACTTTATCTGGGGAGAGGTTGGGGTATATTTTGTGAAGGGATCTTGCTAAGAGAGGTGGGCGGGCTTAAAATCGTGTCAGTCTTTTGCTTCCACCTCCCAAGTGCTGGCAATATCTAACATCTGCCACCACAATTTCTTTCCCCCTATACAGTAAATGTATTCAGGTTTATTTATTTATTTATTTATTTATTTATTTATTTGGTTTTTCGAGACAGGGTTTCTCTGTGGCTTTGGAGGCTGTCCTGGGACTAACTCTTGTAGACCAGGCTGGCCTTGAACTCACAGAGATCCGACTGCCTCTGCCTCCCAAGTGCTGGGATTAAAGGCGTGCGTCACCAACGCCCGGCTCAGGTTTATTTATGATAGTGTCTTTAATTCAAGTGACAGTAAGGGGAGAACAAGCAGTTAATGAAATAGTGGGAGGTAAAATGAGTTTAGAGAGGTGGGCAGAGGCCAGATCCTGTACTACCTTTAGGATATAAGAAATGCTTTTTGGCGGGGCAGTGGTAGTGCACGCCTTTAATCCCAGCACTCGGGAGGCAGAGGCAGGTGGATCTCTGTGAGTTCGAGACCAGCCTGGTCTACAAGAGCTAGTTCCAGGACAGCCTCCAAAGCCACAGAGAAACCCTGTCTTGAAAAACCACACACACACACACACACACACACACACACACACACACACACACACACACACACACACACACACACAAAAGAAATGCTTTTTGTTTGTTTTATCCTTTTGGGTTGTTTGTTCTTGTGTTTTCAAGACAGGGTTTCTCTGTTTAAACAGCTCTGGCTGTCTTAGAACTAGCTCTGTAGATCAGACTGGTCCCGAACTCACAGAAATCCACTTGCCTCTTGAGTGCTGGGATTAAGGGGGTGCACCACCATGCCTGGTTCCCTGCAGCTGAATTTTTTTTTTAAGATTTATTTATTATGTATACAGTATTCTGCCTGCATTCATGTCTGAAGGCCAGAAGAGGGTGCCAGATCTCATTACAGATGGTTGTGAGCCACCATGTGGTTGCTGGGAATTGAACTCAG